TAATCACACAAATTAATATCATACATAATATGACATTGTATATTATAATGATGGCATAATTTATTATAATGATGGCATAATTTATTATAATGATTTGCTCGTACAGGTCATATCGCAAGAGAGCTTGACCTTAAAATAATGACATGAGTCATATCTATTTTGTTATTGACGTACTAGGCAATTTGGACAATGTACAGTCAATTAACGTCCTCTTTCATAGACGAATAATCGTGTTTTATCAACAACGAATGCAACCAGTTCATGGTCAAGTGAGAAAGGGGGTGAAGCAACAGTAAACACATTAGAAGTTCACGTGTTACAGACTGACGTGAAGTCACGCAAGGAAAAACCCGATACATTGTAACAATGTAAGTTCCAATTTGTTTGGTTTAATCGGCTACCGACACTAATGGTAAACGTCCCATTCGTTGAATGGGGCACCTAGCTGCATTTGAACGCGGTTTGGACGTCGACATGTTTGTAATGACTTCATTTCGGCAAGTATATTTCATACACGCAGACATAGATGCCGAATCCATAAGTGTACTTTGGACCTTGGACGTGTATGGCGAAGCGTGAATATTATTTATTCCCCAACACATTGTTAAATTGCCAACGTCAACATCAAATGTCAAGGATTGGCGTAGGTTTAAGACATTGCTAATACCTCCGACTAAGAGGTGGATATGAACATGCATATGTGAGCAAGCTGAATTGAGTTTTAATTTTAACAACTACTGATTGGTAACATTGCCTACTGGTTACCATTTTATTCCACGATGAGCAAGAATGTCGAGTGTGAATCATTGAATATCAGTGTGACAACCGAAGAGTAGTGTGGATTGCCTTACTATCGGTGTCTCTACTCGATTATAGTAATTACCAAAGAAATACGATTCTTGCCAGAAATAGGAATAAGTGTGATGCATTTAATGCACATTTCCTTCTACTTGCAGACTCGATACACATGGCAGGCCAGCAAATCGAGAACGCCCAAAATATGACGACTTCATCTCCAATGCAACCTCTCATGGTGGCTACTGGCCGACCGCGAGTTGCTAATTTTGCTGCCAACACCGTGAAAGGTTTAAGCGTTTGTCAGATCGTCATTGGAGCATTTCTGGTTATACTCGGCATAGCGTCTTGTATTATTCCCTGTGCAGTGCGTCACATAGGGACGCCGATATGGTGCGGACTGTATGTAAGTATTTGTATCTGGCCACGATCTCTAGTTTTGTATTATAAGGCCAAAAAAATGTTTTGTTGCCCTCAGGGACCGACCGAAAAATATGAAATATCGGGTCGCGGTTTTTTTGTTAAATAGGCCCAAATATTAAAAACTCATCAGTTTAAGCAGTAAAAAAGTGTTTCCTCTAAAAATTAACGATCCTGGACCGTTGTTTGATTCCCGGGGTCGCCGGGAACTTTGAACTTCTGGTTGATCTGTATTTAAATACAAAAGACTGAAAGAAACACTTTGATTTTTGTGTTTAATATCAAGCATGTGTTTGATTGATTCCCATATACCTCGGTTATTTACGATACCCTTAGTTTTTACAAGTTTGAAAAAAAAAATCCGACCGACCGACCCAATTTTTCAATTTTCCGACTCGAGGGCAACATAAGTTTTTGTTGTTGTTTTTTTTCAAATTGCGTACTCGTAAATTCAACGTACTATTTATCAATGTACCAATAGGAATACAGAGTGGCAAATGTTTGATTCACGCAAAACACACTCTTGGAGATTCTAATCCATGTCTTTAATTCTTCAAATATTATATACGTTATAATAATTGGAAATCTTTCAACGTGGGTTGCTATTCCAGTTTTTATACATAAGTTTAATAATGATCTACAACTTTTTTTGTAGATTCACGTCACTGGATTTATTGGACTTCTAGCATCAAACAAAGAGACAAAGGGAACAGTAAGTTCTAACTTGCACGTTTATTCTATTGATTCGCATTGCATCACACAGAATATTCAAGAAATTTCATTTCCTGCTACCATTTATCGATGAAATATCGGGATCTGTATATATTACAGATTATAGCGTCTATGGTATGTTCTATAATAGCTGCAGTGCTTGCTGGTACTGTATTACTCGTAATATCTGTCTTGATTATACTTGTCGAGGAAGACTGGGAATATGGCGATATTGTAAGTACAACAACGCATTGTGTGGAGTAACCACATTATCCAATGTATGACAAATGTGTCATACTTTTTAGTGTTTGGTGAATAACTGTGAGTCTGACGTGGAAGGGGATCGGGTATACACTTGAAACTCCGCTCTATTGATTTTAACCTTCTGGTGTTCGAGATCCAAAACAAAAGAATCATTTATTACATACACATCAAATAAAAATGTACCTGTTATTCATCAAATTATTTAATTAAATGTTTTAATTTGTATACCAGACTCTCAATTGAACCACGAGCTGTTCAACCAAAGTTCGTATACAATACTATGACAGAACCCCACACCCTCCCCGTGGCGTTCGTTGCGTATGGAAGTTATGCTCACACGAGATGCGGTGTATCCTGCGGCCGTACTTTCACGAGCGACAAACCGGGTGGAATTTAGGTCGGGGAACCCTATTGCCCATTAATATGTTCCAAGATAGTGTTACGCCCTAGCAATGCGTGTCAGTGTAGAACGCTTGTCACTGTCTCTGTGAAAATGAAATAATCAGACGTCTAATCTGAGTCACTGTCCGAATAAATAACTTGTGAACGTTTAGTTGGGGCCACGATAGACCAGAACTTGAACTGGAAAACTATGATACATAGTTTATGTTGAAGTTTGTAGTGTTGCTTCCTAGCTTGGATTGACTGAGTCTTGATTACCGGTTAAAATGTTGCTTATTTGGCGTTGGTAATCTTTATTTGTCTCCGGGTAACGCCGCAACGTCGCCAGCAGAAACCTCCTGGTACTTCGAGGTTGATGGTTGCGGCTCCATAGCAATCGCTAATTTTACGGCGGTTGGGTCTTCTGAGAGCCCTTCAGGATTTATAAAACTCAATTTCGAGGTGGTCAACATACATCAAGTTCTCCCAATCGTAGTATTCCATGTGGTGTACACCTAATATGCCAAAAACTTTGCTGAATTCGATAAAAATAGCAGACGAACATTTGTTAACAAAACAAAAGTAGTTCGGTTGCCAGTAGAAATACCATGTTCATTTGCATATCGACGTGAAAAGGCCGAACAAAATATTGCATGGGTGATATGCAAATGTGTTTTAGTCAAAATAAGTGACTGCCTAAAAGTACCATTACTAATTCATTTTATTCGGCAAGTATATCCATGTACCCCAAGAGTAAAATATCGTACTTCTAAATACATGAATTGTTTATTTCTGCTATGTTTCGTAAAACGGTACTCCTTGCTTTGTTCTCAGACCTCATTTTCAGGGACGAATCAAAATAAACTGCAGTACTATAATGTTATTACGAAGATACCTCAAAGTATGCAAAGTATAATAATAACCTTATTATTATACATCTTTTTCTTCCAAGGATACATCATGGGAATGCCGTAATCCAAAAAGTTTAGAACAGAATCAGCGAACTTCTTTGTATGGAGTCAAGTCAAATCCTGGTGGCAGCCATGTTTGTTTTTATTATGATTAAAGGACGCTTACGCGCGTAATTATTCCATATTTGGAATTCGCATTTCCTAATATGGTAGTATGAAAATACCCCGTAAAATACCGCAAAATTACGACACGCTGTAACTTATGGCGTTACGGTGACAGATGTATAATAAATATATATTAATACAAAATTAATTTCTCGTCACAGGAATTGCGGTATTTTGTTGATTCAATGATCATCATATTCGCTGTTGCTGAGGTAGTTATAGCTATTCTCAGCTCTGTGTTTTGCTGTCGTGCGTTTTGTTGTGGCCAACCACCCCAACAACAATCAGTGAGTAGTAAACTCCTATCTAGCAGCATTGTACTAATTCCAATCAGTGATACGAAAATCAAATCTCGAGCAAATACACAATTCTTTATTTAAAACCTGGTCGGATATACCTTAATTGCAAAATGTTTACATGTTAATAAATCCATTTATATTGAAAAGCATATGTTCTTAATTGTGACTTCTAAAAACTATCAATATATAACTTTCAATATAAAAACAAAATGTCGAGGATCTGATATTCGATTTGATGTTATTCACGAAACTCGTGCTTGGTATATTTAATTGGAAAATAGACTAGAGATTCATATGAATGTCAATTTGAGGCTACTTTTTAAAATTTAATAATCATTTTCCTTTTTTTTATTTTTAATAGATGTACTATATCCCTGGCAAACCAAGTACAACTGAACCCCAGGTGATCATGGCTACAGGTAACCACACGGCAACTGTGGTTAACATGCCTCCGGGATTTCAAATTGTTAATCAGACTCAAGGTAATTTGTGAATTAATTATTTACAATCAATTGCTAGGTGTGTCTTAATATTAGAATTTGTGAACTAATCATTTATATTCAATTTCAATTATCATTTATTCTGGTGCTGTGATTTTGAAGTATAAATTCAAACATTAAAATTACTCAACTTTGTTGCGTTATAAAAATTTGATAGTTCAACTATGATAAAAAAAAACATACACCAATCATGATAGGTATAGGAAACACCACGGCACAGAGGTGTCGTGAGGGCGTAGGCCAAAACAATTCTCGCCTGTAGTGTTGGCTACCTATACACTGGCTACTTCAGTTAATTTTCTAGGCAAGGTCAATATAATTTTCCCATCATTCTCTAATTTCTTCCATCTGTTGACACTGGACACTCAGAATCCCGAAACACCTGCTTTACTACACCCACCCTCTCAACAACACACTGAAACTTTCAGGTCCGCTGCTTTCATGTTTGCAGTGAGGATCTATGGCCAGTAACACAATGGTTTGTCTCTCATCAATGCAAGAAATCGCCAGCTGCAACGCATTCGCTGATTGACTGCTCGCTTGGCCGATGTATAATAATAATAGTTATTTTATATAATAATTATGTTTATAATTATAATTTTATAATTTATTTTATATAATTGTATTACATGTGTCATCGGAGGGTACTGTATGGTAGCGACAAAACGTAAATACATTGCATAAACAAACACAAACAATACATTTTGTTTAACAATTTCAATATCAAATCTCAATAACATTTTCAAAATTTAAAAACAAAACATTATTAAAGAAAAACGGTATATATGAATCGTCTTCATTGTAACTTATCAAGAGAAACAATTAACAGCGTATGGTTTCTATATTTTTTATATGTTTTAGGTACATATATTCTACAACCTCTTCAACAGTCATATCAACAGAATACTGGTTATTATATTCCATCTCCATCAGGAAACCAATGTCAGCCACAAGGTCAACCAGGAGAAAATCCAATATAATCCTTAAGTTCAGTCACAAACTATTACATGGACGCTTTTACATCGAGCAAATCAATAAGTCTTTGAAGGTCTATACAGTTCTGATTCTTTCTCTTAGCATTATTTTATTTTTTAATTTCTGTGAACTTAAATATTTATTTTTCTTGTTTTATTGTACCACAGGGAAATATGCCTTATGGTAAATATTCATTGAATAATTAAATGCGTATGGTTATCATTTGGGAGTAATATGCTTAACCACGATATGACCATGATAGGAGTCTGTTAAATCTCTGAATGCACATGTACATTTGACATCCACATTTCCCGTGCTACTTAAACTTGGCATTAAACGGTGAATTCAAATCATAATTTTTGATTGCGATACATCTAATGTAACACTCATTGCGTGGATCAGTGTAGTTACGCAGTGGTTTTAGATTCCAGCTTATAAACTTTATTAAATGAACTTTAATTTACCAGGTTCCATAAACGAAATATTTTTGTATCCCCATAAAGACGGGGCAACATCTCAGTGGCAATTACAGACACACTAGATGAAACTCGTGACAATGTCGACGGCAGAAATATTACTGTCAGACTCCAAGTTTTGGCGTTCCGACGTATTAACAAATTAAAGTATTCATATTTAACATTCAACGTTGTAGGACGTAATCACATGACGTAATGCTACCTCATGCATATGTGAGTAATACCGTGGTGGCTAATGAAAATAAATAATAAACATATAATACAAGTGTCCAGGTGAAATGGCCTAGAAAAACGGGTGCGGAGAGCTCATCTCTCGTACATATGCGCTGTGCAATTGAATCGGGTATTGACGTTATGGTGTCGGTCATTGCTTCGGTAGATTCTATATTGTACCTGGGGTGAACGCTGACAAGGGTGGACTCGTACCCTAGATAGAATGAGCCTCATAGCCATATTAATAGTATGTTTACCGCAGATAGGTTATCAGCTTCAGTGTGTCAGCTTTAGTTTTGTATCGAACACGTTGATTGTGTTTTGTAGGTACTCTTAGGTTGGCCAAAACACTTTTAAAAAAATCCTAGAATGTGAGAATCGTTTTTTTTTTTTTTTGTATGAAACGGGACAAATATATATATTAATGGAAAACGGTCAAGAAAAATCTATACTTGTGTGTAACTGAACCAAAGGAATTATGTTCGACTAGCTATAAAACCCTCTCACTTTCTACCGCAAAATCGACACTGCAATGTAGCAGCCACAGTCATTTCGTCTTTCATGTAAGCTTGACTCGACTGATATCGATTACTAGTGCATTGTGGGTTGAATCAACCGACACCAAGATAAAAAAAAATATCAGATGAACTGCACTGTTGTACAAATCGACGATTGACGTATATAAAGTCCAGAAACTAACAAGAAGTTTGCTAGTCCGCTGTCTTTCTGTTTTTATAATACTGAATCCTTGATTGGGGAAGGTGACTTTAAATCGACGTGATGGATCTCGTGGGCACGACTCTGGTTATCGGCATGCTCGTTGTAAACCTGTTTTTGTTCTCAAGTAGTATAGACTTTGGGTAAGTCAGAGTATAATTAATATCGTCACTGTTGACATACATGTATGGGGTATCTCTCTCATCACCAAACGGTTACCTTGTACCGTGATCACTGTTAGCACAAAATACAAATATGAAGCTCAAGCGAGGTATAGGATTATGTTAATTTCAATTGGGAAGAAATTTTATTTCAAGAAAGAATTTGGGCGAATGTTACCTAGGTTACCTGCGATTACAGTGTGTTTTTGCGTAAAATTGTATAGAAACCAACGAATTCAAGAAGTACATAAACAACAATGGGGGTCATGACCTAAACTACTTAGCGAAGTTTATAAACCATTCGCATCTCAATAGCCTGTATTGTTATGTATGTAGCATAATTGTTACGTGTGGTAGGTCAAGTTCAATCAATGGAGACATATCTAACTTGAGTGAATAGGTAATGTATTATTCATAAATTATTGTCATAACCTCTCGATGGTATCCGTGACCCTTGACACCGTATTGATACGGATACGCTCCTACTCCAACAATAAAAAATAGGGGTAAATATATTGATTATCGACATGACGTGATTTTCGGGTAAATACTATTCTTTCCACCAATCTTGATTTTACTGAACAAAAATTGTATTTTAGGACGTTCAAGAAAGAAGATAGACTGCATTATTTCTTCCTTTGCAGTGGCGATGGCACCGAGAGGGCAGGGGCGGTGGCACCGAGAAGGCAGGGGCGGTGGCACCGAGAGGGCAGGGAGCGGTCATTCCCTAAAAAACACCCCCACCCAAATCAAGCTGAAACCCATTGTTTATTAAAACAACACAAGAAATTTGCCTTATTTACACGTATCGGCAATGCAAGCTGCCCAGCGACTTCCCCTTCTGACGTCA